ATTTCGGAAATTGTGAAAATAAAAATAGATTCTCTTTTAAAAAGTCGTAAAGATAAATCATAAATTTAAAATATGTACGTCATTAAAGTTTAATGATATATCCAAACCATAATCAGCGTGGACCAATAAATTATATAACTAAAATATGTAAAAATAATAAATTATGTATAAAATGTAGTAATATTGTTTATGAGAACTAAAACTCTAAAAAATATAGAGGACCTTTTTAAAGATTTAACAACATGACTAGGTATTTTTACTATAATAATCGATGCTTTCACTACAATTACTTACAAAAATCATCTAATTCTAAATGAAAAAAAATATGCAATGTAGTTTAGAGAGATATAATTTTTACATCGCTAAAGATATATAAGTATTATTATATTTATTAAATAAACACTATTTTCTACTTAACTTTAACCTTGTATATAACATTTAGAGTTAATAGAAAGATGTGCATGCAAAAAAGAACTTCGACACGTTGTATTAAAACCTTGCCTTCACAGAATAGGTANCATTTAGAGTTAATAGAAAGATGTGCATGCAAAAAAGAACTTCGACACGTTGTATTAAAACCTTGCCTTCACAGAATAGGTATAGTCNTTCGACACGTTGTATTAAAACCTTGCCTTCACAGAATAGGTATAGTCTGTGCTAATTTTATTAGTAATAAAAATGAATATCATCCGAAGTGTCCAATATGCCGCGTAAAAGTTGAAGAATTCTGTCACGATGGTTTGTACTTATTATAAAATATTATGGGTTTGTGTAAAATTGGTCCATGCAATATCTTAATGAATTAAAAATATATAGTATAATTTTTTTTCTTCAAAAATTATAGTGTTCTACAATTTATAGTTTTATAAAAAAATTGGTCATATTTTGGTAATTTGGGGAAAGTTGGGTCATTCCACTAAAAATTGCATCAAATTTAGTTTTTAATTAGAAACTTATATGTTTAATAAACTATTATGGCAATGATGCAATTGACTTAGTTGGGTCATTAGTCGGATATCTTAGTACTTAGACAAAAATTAAAATAAATTTTTATTGTATTAAAATTATAAGATCTACAAGTTAGATCTGATATATCACGTATAATTCTATTTAAAAAATAAAAATTGATCCAATTTTTTGATGTTTGGAGAGAACTTGAGACCAATTTTTTTATTGTAAATGATTAAATTTAGAATGCTTTTAACTTCTGAAAACAAAAAATTATTGTTTATTTTGTATTTCGAAACTCATTAAATGAATCGACTTATATATTGTAACGTGACAAAAGATAAATTTTATGATATAGATAGATTTACTGTTTTGCTTTGCTAATGGACGCGCGTACGTTATATCCGGCCGTGTAATCAGAAAACTGTACTATTGCTGTCAAGGTGAACGCTATACACACAATATTCTCTATCAGTTTAATAATCGTTCCCTATATGACACATACACTGGCCACCACTGTCAATGCCTGTATAATTTTAATATTATTCATATTTTTATCTGTTTTATATTTTGTAAATTGTTAAGCCGATACCCTCTCCCAAACGTAATCGTCGTCGTCGTTATGTCTCGCCCGGTGAGTAAGAAAAATTTGTGCTCTCTTCCCTTTGAACCACTGTCGTGGTATCTTGGCTGTGTGTGTACAGCCAACATTATTTTGTTTTTTTTTCGTGTGTGTCGTTCATATTAATAATGCATTAATTTAACAAGGCGTCGGTCATTTCCGGGGCCGAGATCCCCATCTTAGGATGAGTCCCATCCGGGACTGGGTATCGTATATTGTTTTTTTATTTTTATTTAATATAATGTATTGAGCCTTTTTCTGTTGTAAATTTATTTTGTTATGAACTGTATATGGACTTTAGCATTGCTATTTATAAGGTTATTGGTCAGTGGTGTGTCATGTTTATTTAATACATATACAGAGTGTTCAGTAAGTCAGGAAACGGGTTTCTATTGTTCTCATTGTTACAAACAATGAGAACAATAGAAACCCGTTTCCTGACTTACTGAACACTCTGTATATATTATTCCCGCAGTGCCCAAGTAACGGCCGGCCAGATTACAGAAATTATCCGCCGCGTCCGGAGTACACGGACTTGTTCCGATGCGGAAGACAGTTCATGTGTAATATTTAAAAGTTGTAGGTTAAAATTTTTTTTGTCTTAATAATTGTTTTTTTTTCTCTTTTGTCCCTTCATTTGCAGAGTGGTTTTTGCCTTCGGGTTTTGTCCACTATTAACTTAATTGTAATAATTTAATAAAATCCCCTTAATTTTCTTAATCAATAAAAATCTTTTTATTGCGTGAATATCTTCAATATTCACGTATATCTTACTTTTTTTTTTTCCTTTAAATAATTCTCTCTAGTTTTAAGGTAACGGTCTTCGACATACTAAAGTATGTCCACCACTGATGACATCAAACAAACATATTTGTTATATTTACAAGGTATCAGCGTATTATAGTCTACAACAACACTTTATATTTTAGTATATGAAGAGTGAATGTGTCAAACGTTCTATGTGCCAAAAAAATGAAAAATTGTTTTATATCTGATTTATGTTCTATGTGCCAAAGGCCACAATCTTGTATGTGTTTCAAATGTCAATTAAATTTTTTACTTGTACAAAATTGCATTCATAGATAGTGTTCGTTATGTGAGACATGCCCATGTTACCATCGTTTTTTGTGTTTTCTGAACAAATATGTTTTTGACACATAGAACGTTTGACACATTCACTCTTCATATATATATATATAATTTTTTTTTAATCCACTTAGTTTCATCAAAGTGTACATTATTTTATTTAATATTATTAGTTTATTATTGTTTATTTTCTTAAATCCACTTATGGTCCGGGTGTTGTTCTTTTTATGATCAAGACCCTCGCCTAAGTGGTTGGCGACCCTATTATGTTATAATAATTATAGAGTAAATCAAAATATTATATATATCAGAATAATTAATATTTTAATACAAAGTAAAATAATGTAACCCAAACTTATATCATTATTTTTCCTTGCAAAATTTTGATTACATACAATTACAAGTAAATATAGAAAATAATGTCTTGCACTTTTCTAGCAAAAAATTATCATGAATATGTAATGCAATGACATAGTCCATCTTGCTTACAATGGGTTGTGTTTAAAATGTGAAATTTCATTAAAAATTAACACATAAAGGGAAACTCTGTTCAATTATTTAATTGATCATTTACAATTTAATGATTACTTATATTTTTTTTTAGAGCCACTCATAAATAATGCATTAAATCCATCATATTTAAGGCGTATAAAAAATGTAACATCACATTATTTGAGTAAATACAATTTATTTGGTGTGCCTAGATTTGATGACTAGTATAATAATGAAGGTGTTTTAAAAAGAAGAAAATTATAAAGGTTTTTTTTAACATTGTATATTGTAATATCATTAAATTTTAGTATAGTTATAAACATATATTATAATAATGATATTTATGAATATATATTTTTATAAAATATTTATATTTACAGTGTTTATTAAAATAGAATAACCCTAATTTTAATGCGATAAAAGAATGCCAATGAAGCTGAAAGATAAATTCTACAAGACTATAAGGAGACCAGCTATGATGTATGGTTCAGAGTGTTGGGTAGTTACAAGGTAGGTGAAATGAGGAGATCATTGATAATAGGCGAGGATGTAATAGGAGAGGTGGACAGTCTTAAGTATTTAGGATCATTTTTGCAAAAGAGCGGTGGTATTGACGAAGATGTAAGACACAGGTTTAAGTTGCGAGTGGTTGAAGTGGAGAGAAGCGTCTGGTGTCTTATACGATTTATATTTACAATGTTTATTTAAAAAAAAATAGAGTAACCTTGATTTGAATGCTATAAAAGAATTGCAATGAGATAGAAAGGTAAATTTAACAGGGCTATAATGAGACCAGCTATGATATATGGTCAGAGTATTGGCCTGTTGATAAGAAAGTAGAGCAGAAAATGAGTGTAGTGTAATGATTAACTTAGTCGAATGAGTGGATTCTTTTAGTAAAAATTAATTTAAATTAATTATCTAGTATTTGATGACTCTTATCATAGATAATTGATGATTTTTCTACACCATTGACACTACAAACGTTAGGTAGGTATACCCATATAGCACCAATTGTTCCGAGAATATTCTCCGAATCTTTGATGCATTGTATGATTATTCTGCATGATTTACGAATATTCTTTAAAAATTATTTGAAATTATTCTAAGAGTATTTATATTAATTTAATCATAATTTTTCGGATTTTTTTGTATTCTATTATTTACAAAACATGAATATTCTAGAAAAAATTTGATAGAATAATTGACAAATAAGAATATTGAATTAATTGATAAATATTCTATTAATAATTTAAACATATTATTCAATCGACATTAGACTATTACCCATATAAGAATAGTATTATATAACATGCAATAATAATTTATTTATTACTAAAAAAATTAGCTTTAAATGGGTAAAATAAATTATTGTTTATTTTATTCCTGTAGGCCAAGTATACAAGGCTTACAGGAATAATAAAATTATATATTATACTACATTTTTACTAATATAATTATGCCAATAAATTACTGAAGATTATAATTTATATTATTACATTAATATAGATATCTTTTTATTTTAGCCATTAATATTTTTTAATTATATTACTTTAAAAAATATAAATATACAGGCTAATTTTTAGCTGCGATGCGAAACTGAGAAGGTATTAATTTTAATATGATGTTTTTTTTTTATCTGTTACCATTTTTTCCAGCTCTCACCGAACTGATTTCTTTCAACGATACGTAAAAAGATCACAAATCGTATCTAGTCGAAGACATTACCCTCAAAAATTGAAAAAATTTTCCTCGTTCCCCGCCAATGGGGAAAATCTCCAAAAAAATTACAAATTTAAAAATCGCTAATTTTTGACATTTTTTTTTACTTAAAATTGCCATAACTTTTTTAAAAATTATTAAATCATTATAAATTTTTTTTTTAAAGTCATGAGATATTAATTATCTTTTTCTTTATTTTTTTTTATAAATCTGACCCTTTATCTGCCCACATGGGGGATTGAAAATGATTATTTTTTCTCAAAATATTAACTTAAGAAATTGTTTCGGAAATACTCATACTTTTATGTATATATTTTTTATGCAGTTTTGGCAATAACTATTTTTCACGGCTTCTAAAATTAATATTACTTTATTTGTATTAAGCGACTACTCAAACAACCACTTGCCGAGTTAAATCTCGTCATTGCTGATTCTTAATATAAATTAAAGCGAAGTTAATATATTAATATTAAACCTATATAATAACCTAAGGGGATTATTGGTAACTTAACTCTTGTAACTTATAGGTCTATACCGTTTAACCTAAAAGCAGACAATATAAATGAAAAAAAAAATTATAACAATATAAAAAATTATAATGTTTATACCAAAATAACAAAAAATGTTATTGTGGTTATTCAAAAATAATATTTTTTGGGTCCGTTTACATATAAATAACAGGGTATCGAAACATTTGTTTTAACTTATAGAAAATAACACGCTTTAATTTCAATATGTTTAAAGTTCGCAATATTTTGAAATATTTTCAAAAGTTGAAAAGATAACTTTTGGTGAAAATTAGATTTTTTATATTGGTATTTTGAATTCCCCAAGGTAATTAGAAGGGCAGATTATCAAAAAAATTATACTAATTTAAAAGTAAACACCTAATTAGTGTATTTCTTTAGAAAATGAAAAATATACTGTACATACACTACAAAAAAAAAAAGTATTCATATTTTTTTTTATATCTGTCCCTACTTTTTCTAAGCTCTCAGTGGATTCTGTTATGTTATATTATTACTTATAATAGTATGATGTTATCATTGTATTATATGTACATGTATGTCACATATTATGATTATACAATATCACCAAAACAGGGTTCTCTTATTTAAAATACAAAATAGCCCTTTAATTATGCGATAAAATCTACTTCTTGTAGAGATTATTAAGTAACGCCTACATGCAGGGCCCTCATTATAATTAACCAATTAGAATAGAAAGCCTCAGCTTTCAGGATCATGGCTGGGATCGCTGGGCTACCCCCTTGAGACTATAAAATACCAATTTGCCACGTCTAAACCAGTTCTTTCGGCTATTTTAAAAGACACAAAATCTACGACACTACTCAAGCTTTTACTCTCCGAGACTTAATCGATTTTTTAATAAGTTTAGACTTAGAATATTTTTCTTTAAAACTAAATGACACTTAGAAATTTTAAAGTGAATTTTGTTTTGGTGAATCTTTTAATTTAATTTAATTTGTTCATTTGTTTTATTTTTATTGTTGTGGAAATAAATGTCAAATAATATTTTAAATATTAAATTTTTTTAAATTATTCTATTTTAATAATAAATCCAACCCAACTTTAAATTTTATTTAATAATAAAAATCCATTGTGATCTTTTATTATTGGGTAGCTAGTCTTTGAGCTTAATGTCTTTGTACTAACGAACATCGGGCCGGTGGACAGCGCAAAGACAATTACAAATGTATTTGTAGAGTTTAATTTTTGTCTTGGTGATTATTGTGCCGCATCCTTTCAAGGCGGTTTCTAGCGCCGGGACACATTGGGCCACCACAATTCCGCCTTGATCAATTTTTTATACAGATATAAATATTTCTGAATTTTGTTTTGGCCAGGCCAGAGGAAAATTTAAGAAACATTAGTGTTGATCTCTCAATAAAATATACTCTCTAAAAAAAATACTTATTCAACAGACGTAAAAAAACAATAAGTAAAAATTATTAAATTTATATTTATAATAAAATAATAATAATAATATCTTTATTACGAAAATAACTCCATTTACAATTTATATATAAATATGATAACAGTTGAGAACACGTAACAATTAAATCACAAATTAATACAAGTAAATATATATTATAGATTATAAATTAATAATTTTTATTATTATTTAATGTATAAAGATTTAAATTTATCAATATTACTACAAACGAAAAAATCCGCACTAGCCCTATTACTCGCCAACATTAAAACAATAATGGGAGAAGATTTTAATATTTTTTACGTAGAATAAATCTTTAATTTGGGTGCTAATTTTAGGTATTTTAAATTGTAAACGCTCAAGAAGGAATGTGCAATCAATGTCACCATTAATAAGTTTATATAAAAACACTAAATTTTGACTGTTTCTTCTATAACCTAAAGTATTAATATTAAAACACCCTTAAACTCCATCGTAACCAAAATGGGGTATCCTTTCAGCCTTACATTTAAATGATAAATATCTTAGAAAATAATTTTGTATTGAATCTAAGTCATGAATTTGAGTAAAAGAATTATTAAGTGAAGGGTATTCAAGGTGAGATCTTACTAATGAAAAATAAATTGCCTTAAGGGCATCTGCGCAAAAGAATTCGTGGCAACTTCTTTTTATGAAATATAAATTAGATGTAGCCTTTATTTTTATCTCATTAATGTGTGCATTAAAAGTTAGTTTTGTATCAAATGTAACTCCCAGGTCTTTTACATTATCTACTATTTTAAGAAGATGATTGTTTAAAAAGTATTCATGCAGTATGGGTTTTTTTTTAGTGTAAAGGATAAGATAGAGCATTTATTTGTATTGAGAGTCATACCATTATCGTTACACCACAAAGCGAAATTTTGAATATCAGTTTGAAAGCAAATAGCATCGGAAATAGTGTTAATGGTCATAAATAGTTTCGCATCGTCTGCTAAGAGTAGTATTTTTGAGTATTTCAATACATTTACAATGTCATTTATAAATATAAGAAACAATAGAGGTGATAAATGATCATCTTGGGGAACATCATGTGTTCCTCTAATAACATTAGACTGGAAATTATAATATTTTATAATCTGTATTCTATTAGTAAGAAATGAATTAAACCAAGATAATAGAGGATTTAGACTACCAATCAATTATAATTTACGTACTAGTAATGTGTGGTTTATTTTATCGAATGCTTTTTCAAAGTCACTATAGACAGCATCTAGTTGAGAATTAGATTAAAAAGAGTCTATAATAGTCTGCTTAAAAACCGTAAGATTTGTAACAATTGATCTTCCATTACGAAATCCATGTTGTTCGTTTATAAAAACATTTTTGAACATTGGCGTAATTTTTTGAGTAATTATTTTCGAAAAGATTTTCACAATTAATGAAATTTTTGATATAGGTCTATAGTTATTAATTTGTTCTCAGTTACCTTTCTTAAATATGGGATTGATAAAAGATGATTTTAAAATATCCGGAAATACACCACATTTTAATGAACTATTAAATAAAATTAGTAAAATAGGTGAAAGAACAAATGAACAATTTTTTAAAAATAAAGCATCTATACCATCAGGTCCAGGACTACCATTTACTGAATTTAATTCATTAAATATATAAGATATACCAATTTCAATTTTATTTAGGTTAGACAATAGTTGGGGACAATTTGAAGTGTTAGGAGAAAGATTATTTTGAGATGTATATACACTGGAAAAGTATTTACCAAATAAATTAATGATTAATTTAATAATAGCAGATATGTCATCTAAACACATAAAATTAGGTAAATCGTGATTTAGTTTTTTCTGTTAAAAAAACTTCCAAAATTCTTTCGGATTTGTTTTGATAGAATTTTGAGAATTATCTATGAAGTTTAAGAAATCTCTTTCTCTTGTTTTTTTACATTTAGAACTCAAATTTGAAAAGATATTAAAATCAGTAGGTAATTTTGAGTTTTTATAAATGATATAGAAAGAAATAAAGAAATAGGTTCTTTAAAATTCAAGTAATGCAATTGATTACAGTTGTAGTAAATACGAGGGACGTCCAGAAAGTAAAGATATAAGGCTTATCAAAAATATACTAAACCGTTTTATTAAAAAAAAATTACATAGCATTAAAGGTATATATCTAATCATTTTTCGACATAATCGCCATTATGTTCCAAATACTTTTGGTAACGTAGGATGAGTTTTTGTATACCGGCGTCGTATTCCGTTCGCGCTACCTCCTGTAGCCATGTGGTCGTGTAATGTTTGAGGTCCTCATCGTCGTCGAATCTTTTCCCTCCCAAAGCTTCCTTTAACTTGGTGAAGAGATGGTAATCGCTGGGGGCCAAGTAATGACTGTGAGGTAGGTGGAACAAAATGTCCCAACCAAATTGCTGCCGTAATTCTTGTGTTGCTCGAGCAGTATGGGGGCGAGCGTTATCATGAAGAAGACACACTCCTTTTGTCAGCATTCCCCGTCTTTTGTTCTTTATGGCACTTCTTAATTTTTTAAGGGTTTCACAATATGCTTGTGCATTAATGGTAGTGCCACGGACCATGTAATCGACTAGGATAACTCCCTTCCTGTCCCAAAAAACGGATGCCATGACTTTCCGGTCTGAAAGAGTTGTTCGGAATTTTTTGGCACTGGGAGAATGTGTATGGCGCCACTGCATCGATTGTCTTTTGGTTTCTGGCGTCGTTTAAGAAATCCAAGTTTCATCTCCTGTCACTATACTGTCCAAAAATTCCTCTCCTTGTTCATCATGACGTTCAAAAAACATTCTTCCTGCCTCAATCCTGTTCTGTTTGTGTTCTTCTGTGAGCATTTTTGGGACCTAACGAGCACTCAGTTTCCTGAAATCAAGTCGATTCGAGATTACTTCGTGCAGAACAGATCGAGAAACGCCTGGGCACTTCTCGAGAAGTTCGTCAAGAGTCAAACGACGATCTTCACGGATGAATTGTTCGACTTTTTGGATGAAATCGTCGGTCACCAAAAACGGCCGGCCGCTCCTCTCCTCATCATGCACACTTTTTCTTCCTTCTCGAAATTCTCGTACCCATTTGGTGACGTTTTGGCGATTCATACCATCTGGTGCATATGCTTTGACAAGTCGACAATGAATTTCAGTGGGAATGATTCCTTCTTGAGAGAGAAAACGGATCACACTTCTCACTTCACACTTTGAATATTCAGTAATAGAGGTGGCGGTAGCGCTCGATGACTCGCCCATCGTGAAAACCTCTCACGGACAAAAAACGTAACGTACTAAAACCGTACTGGTCTGAACTTGTTCGCGACATGTCACCGAAAGTTGCAGTAGTGCCAATGCTCGAAAAAAAAATTCACTGTGGCCGTAGGGAGGCTTGTATCTTTACTTTCTGGACGTCCCTCGTATTTAGAGGTGGATGAAGTTTATCGATTATTGCTATTGGGTTTACGTCTTTTTCGATTAAATGTTTTGATAATTTGAAATTACTTTATCTAAAGTAATACCATTAATATTACTAATATTGTTAAATTGTAGTAGGTTTAAGTTAAAAATTTGTTCATTAAAAAAATTTTCAGAATCACAGAACGTGGCAGAAGATAGATTATAATCTCCTAATAATATTATATTGCAATTAGTGTTTTCTAAAAGTAAATTTTTTACAGTAGAAAAGTGGTTTAAAAATAATTGCTTATTAGAACGTACAGGCATATATACCGCACCAATAATAATACATTCTTTACCTAAATTTATTAAAACAAAAACTTGTTCTAAATTATTAATAGAAGTACAAAGTATCCTAGAAAATAGTTTTTTATTAACAGCTATTAGAACTCCTCCACCTCGTATAAAGGCACTGGTGTTAGTGTTTCTGTCAGCTCTGTAGACATTATATTGTTGGTAACCCATTTCTGAGGAATTAGTGGCACTTGAAAGCCAAGTGAATAGTACACGCCCAAATTATATCCGAAACCATTAATAGTAACCAAAATATATTTGTAAAAAACCGAATAGTAAGCTAATTACAGTTATTTAAGTAAGTTATTTTTCAAACTAGATTTTTTTAAAAGTAAAGTCGAGTTCTATTTTCCTGTTTGTTTCCACTTGTTGTTTGTCTAACTCTTCAAAGTTTTTTTTCGAAATTAGCACTGTTCTCCAAAAATCGATCAACATACATACGTATTATTGGCTGTATTTTGATTTTTTAAGAATAATTTTTTTTTATTAATATTTTATCTGTAAAATGTACAAATTTGAATTATTTTTATAAACTATAATACAGTTAAAGTTTATCAATAGAAAAAATGATTTCTAAGAGTAGATTTTAAGATTAGTTCCCAATTATATTTCAAAAGGTATCTGTGAAAACTACTCGTAATAATAATTTTTTCTCACAATAGACTTTATGTTTACAAAAATCAAATTTTAACTATACATTTTTCATGGAATAAATGGTTATTTAACGAAATAACGGGGGTATCAATGTTAAAAAATCACACAGTTTAATGTGTGCATTATATAGCGCTCTTAAAATAATACTTTTTAATAAGTATCTACTAGAAGTATATTCATGTTGATTGTAGATATNCTTAATAAAGTCCCCTTAATTTAACTTAACCATCATCTGTTTTTTCTTTTTTTTGCGTGTTCCATCTTCAATGGACTCGTGTATTTTTTTTTCTCCTTTCAAAAATCAACTCCCCTAGTTTATAAGGTACGGGCAACGGCCTTGTATAAGGTCATCCCTGATCTATATGGTTATGTGACAACTGTCACGAGGTTTTGGTGTACATCTACTATCAACGACTCAACGGACTTCAACTTTAATATTTATTAGTTATATATTTTTTTCTAATTGCTTTAATATAAAAAAGTTAATGTTTTGTTTGAAATCCTACTGTGGTCCGACAATATACTGTCTCTCCCAGTAGGTTGGCGACCCTTTACTTATAACGTTGTAAAACGCCATGAAAGTTACAGATTTTTCGTTGCGGCCAATTAATTTGATTTTTATATATTTGTAACCTTTCAAAATTATGAATAGAAGTACAAAGTATCCTAGAAAATAGTTTTTTATTAACAGCTATTAGAACTTCTCCACCTCGTATAAAGGCACTGGTGCTAGTGTTTCTGTCAGCTCTGTAGTCATTATATTGTTGGAAACCCATTTCTGAGGAATTAGTGGCACTTGAAAGCCAAGTTTCAATTAGAATGTAGACATCCAAATTTGAGGACGGTATTTGTGAATTTAATGATGATAATTTGTTGTTAACACTGCGTGTATTTTGGTAATATATATTGAGAAACAATAGAGTTGATTTTATGCGTTTTTTGTCGAAGAAACTATTTTTGGCTCATTTTTTATGTACTTGTTTATAATATTACTTTTTCCATTCTCTCTACGTTGACTGAGCTCTTTTCTTAAGTTTGATATTTATTCTCTTTGAAAAGCAGTTCGATCGAACGAAAATTTTCATAATTTCATTATTATGTTACTCCCTTCAGTTTTAAATTCTGACTTTTCAGGAAAATTAAATAAGATTACGTTATGAGATTTAGAATTTCTATCTAAGATCTCAGATATAAAATTATTTCGAGAGAAGATTCGTTATTTTCAAGTGTTTCAACTTTATTTTTTAAGATAGCTAGTTCACTTTTTAAATATTCATTTTTTTTTGCCAGAGTAGAAACACGTTCTAAAAGCTCATCAACTTTTTTCCCAAACCGAGAAAATTTTTTATTGATTGAAGCTATTAATTTATTTTGGGATGATTTTATATCATTATTAGAAGCGATAAGAGCGTCCAGTTTATCTTCCATACTTAAAACGGAATGAGAATGTATAATATAAAATTAAAGATAATGTGCAGTATAATAATATAAGGTAGACGATTGTTCATAAACTATTGATAATGTGATATTACAATAGCGAATAATTATTGTAACATACCTTGTTATTTTTGGTGTTCCGGTATGAAAATGAAATAGCTGATTACAAGGTTTAGAATGTGAAACCTTTTAAAGCAGCAAAATGAGCAAGATTTAGTTGTTTTAGTTTTAAAAATTATTAGAAATCTATTTAAAGTTCAAATAGACAAATACAATCATACATAGATCACAATAAAATAAAGCTAATGCCGAAAACTGTTAAGAAAATTCACTTTCGTTAAATTAAGAAATGAAAACAAAATTAATTGTTATAATCACATCTGTTATCACTGTTATCACTGTTAATTATGAGTTAAATAGAGAGTGTTTGGAATCTTTTACAAGTAAGATCAGTCGTAGACTTTGTGTAATTAAATCATATTATTTAAAATCTTGAATTATTCTTGTAAGTAATTACATGTACTCAGTGCTCGAATTGGCAAAAAATAAGTGGGGGAGCTCAACCTAACAATTTGAAAACTGCATCCCCAGCGTTTTGCAGACCTTTTTTTTTTTTTACTCATTACTTTATTTAGTCGGAAAACAATAAATAAACAACGTTAAATGATAATTGAAAACTCTATGAGTGATAACTCAAACTGATAACATGGAGCTCAGCGACATATATATATTATTTGTTATGTTATGTTGTTCTGTGATATATTACCATATACACGATATTACAGAACACTGAACTATTAGAACTATTGTAATATCATACTATAATGAAATATATCATATAAATTATAAAAAATTATTTGTTTACAAAATATTTTAAATTGTAAAATTGATCACAATTTAAATCTATACTTAAAAAAAAAAAATGCGGTTATATTTTCTACCGTCCTCCCGTCACAATAAAAAAAAGTAGTTGGGGTGCGCAAAAAAATAAAAAAATTAGTAGAGGAGCTCCGTTCCCCTGCGCACCCCCCCAATTCGAGCACTGCATGTACTATATTACGTATAGTGTAAATCGTATACATAGTGCGTTTAATACCAAAATCAACAATCGATTACTTTAAATATTATTGCATTACACAAGATGTAAGGTAAGTACTATTTAATCTATGCTTTCGAATCTCCTACAATCTATTGCATAATAATTAAAACAATTAATATAAATGAAATAGGAGAATTAATAATTAATAAAAGACACTAAGTAATGAAAAAATCAAAATTAATATTATATTACAATACTTATTATTTGTTTTTTTAATTTCTTTTCTTTTTCTTTTTGGTTTATTACAGTTCAATCCTTTCAACTGTATGTCAAAAGATCACAATTTGTATCTGGTCGAAGACGTTACACTATAAAATTAAAAAATTGTTCTCGTTCCCCGTAAATGGGGAAAACCTCCAAAAAATTACTAATTTAGAAATTGCTAATTTTCAACATTTTTTCAAATTGTTTTCTTCAAATTTCCATAACTTTTTCAAAAATTCCTTTACTTATCATTTGATATATTTCTTTATAAATCTGACCCATTGTCTGTCAATAGGATTGATTCAAAATGACAAATTTTTTACAAAAATTTGACTTTTTCAACTTAACTTTTATAAGTGTTCCGGAAATACTGACACTTTTATATATTTTGTAATAAATAGCTGAGGAAGTATTGAATTACATCGGTTTTAGTATAATTTAAGCTTTACAACAGTAGTAAGCAATTTTTGAACTCTTAAGCAATATAATAATTCCATGAGAATGTTTGATGCGAGTTGTTTGAACGGAACGCCCTGTAATGATGTGCTGGTTAGTTACTGTTCTTTTTTGGAGTATCTATATCATGCAGGAGAAAGAAGTAGGGAGTAGACTGTATAAATGAATAAATGTATTGAAAGAATATAAAACAATAAACTGTATATTTAACATAAATTCTTATATATGTACTAATAAGATAGAGGGGGGCACTTAACACTAATGCCACAATGGGGCAAAGACAAATAAATAGTAATGTATATGACACGACTTACGTCGCAAAAATGTGGTCGACACTGGTTTTGAGGGTAGAGACCCGTGGGCCGTTTATTAAATGAGCGACAACAGATTATTTTAACAAAAATAAAACAAACCGAAAAGATAAACACAGTAATAATAATCTTCGCATAATATCGCGGCACTTTCGCTGGCGTCGACGACGCGATGTTCGGCGTAATCCTTGGACGGCAAAATGGTTAGCAGCGTTGTAGGCGACGGTGCGCGGGTGCGGTTCGGCTGTCGACGTTGTCGCTTTCACAACGGGAGGAAGACTCTCGCACCATTTGCGGCGGGTCGTCGTCGGCCGTGCGGCATTTGCTGGACTTTGCACCGTAGCGTATAACACGCGGTGTTGGTCAGTCAAATACTCATAGTAGGGCGACGGCTGATAAAGGTGGCACGAGTCGCGGGGCATCGTGTATAACGAAGCGACGCGGGCCGTGTCATATATAAAAGTAAAAAGATAAATATATATAATAATAATATATAATAATTAATTATTTAGCAATTACTGTAGTCTTGAAAGTTGTACAAATAAACTGATCTGGAATGAATAACAAAATAGTGGATACAATTCACTAACATCAATGGGATGCGTTTAATAGCAAGTCGATGATATGTAGATGTATATGAGTACAGGTGAGTCGCATGGCGAATTTACTATATTTGCGTACTAAGGTACACGCGAATCGCTATTGTGAAAAACTATTATGCACGAAAAAGGCCTTATGGAACACTTCGACAAGGGCCAAAATAGTAACAGCACCACATACACTACGACTCAAAGGATTTTCACATCGATATCATACATCGACCGCGTACGTAATCATCTGACATAATGAATTTCTCGCACAAGCGGCGGTGGTAGTGCGAGTGGTGTTATCAGTCATAATACAAATTTAAGAAAACGCCCTCTCATGATGCTTATCCAACACGAGTAACTTGTACGATTTATTTTGTTTCGTGTTACATTTTTATATTACATTTTAACTTTGTGTTTATTACATTTCTTAAATAAAATAACTATTTAAAAACCTACACTTAGCGTAAATATTTTATATCCTGTTAAATTGTGTGTGTGTGCAGCAAGAGTCGAGGTTGGACTGCTTGTCCATTAGTCAATCGTTATAATAAAACGTGCGTGCTGGCTAGTTTTTAGGCTTAACCGTCCTTTAGTAGGTATAGTGAAAAGGTAGTTGTGCTGGTGGTTGATAAGGAGCCACCCTTCAATCTGCTACTTTTGAACTAGACAGTGCTGATGGGTCTAAACTCTATCCCTTTAGTAGTTCACTAATTTGAGGGATTGGGGCTATCCAGTGTATCCACCGGAAGGACCTAAGAAGAGCTTGAAACGCCGAACTCGTCGTCATATATATTAAAAAACATTAATTCATTTGTGTAAAATTTTTGTGTTTATGTCGGGTCACTACAGAAGTACTACAATATACTTTACTATGAAAAGTTTTTTTTTCAGATTTTAGTTTGTTTTCATGGTGAAAACTAACATCAAAGTTAATAGAAAAATAAGATTTTTGTAAAAAAATTCTTTTTTATATTTTTAATTTTATAATGCTATACTTTTTGAAAAATATATGGATCAATACAATTTATTATGATAAATACTATTTATATACCTCATTCGTTTGTCATACTTTTTTTTTAAATAGAACCATTCCCTTTATATATATATAAATCATAAAATTTGTAATCAATATATAAATAAAGAAATAAAATATCATGTAGCTTTAGGAATAATTCACTAATTTGTTAAAATTAAACACTATCTACAGATTTGCACGGAAGCGTTTTTTATGATAGTGATTTTAATCATTGTCAGATATCATTTTACTTGACCCAACTATGCCACGTCCCCACTGTGCCGAGTCTCCACTGTGCTGGGTTTTTTTCTGTATATTATACTTATTATACGTGACGTTTATGAAATGTATTATATATAAATTTTAATACACGTAAATTGCTATTTCAGCTTTGTACAAATGAAGATACAAACGCAATCATTTTAAAAGATTTTCGAATTTTTATTTATTTATTTGTACAAGTGTTACAGACTTGTAGTTTATGAACAGAAATCTTTAACGATGTACAGTTTTTGAGTACTAACTTTTAGTGAACATAAAATAGATTAAATTATTTAGAAATTGCGTTAAATAGTTTAATACGCGTTAATAATATCAAAGAATAATAGTGCTTCTTGAGTGAATTAATTTTTAAAAAATGGTAAGAAATTTTATGAAATATTTAGATATATGAAAAGTTATATGTAAATATTACATATTATAATATTATTAAAAATATAACAATGTTAATATATTTCCAAATTAATATAATTAATTATATAATTTATACATTTAAAAATAAAATTCTATTTGCATAAAGACAAATCCTATGTTCTCATTCGGTATATTTAAAATTCATTTATTTTTTACAATTAATAAAGGAAAAAATATGTAATTATTATATTTTTAGATTTTGTCAAATCATTCGATTTTTGTTGTCAGTATTTGTTTAGTTTTCCAAGGTAATAACTTAAATATCTTTTAATAACTAAAATACTACTCGATAGCATAATACGAAATGTAACTGATAAATATTTGATAAAATATTTGTAGATGGCAAATTTACAGTTTTGGCCTTTTTCTTTTAAATATTGTACTCCGAAAAAAAATTAATCATAATGATTTAAATGCTGTTTCTATGATATACGAAAAAATTAAGTGAACTCGTACTGGACTTAGGATTAAGAACAATTGCGTCCCAAAATTTCAAAATTAGCCATCCTAAAATTCAGAAACAATAAAAATATATTTTTTAAAAATCTTTTTGTGGAATAATCTTATTTAGTATTTATAAAAAATATGTCAAATATAAATATTTTCCTCACAGCACAAGTATATTATAAGAAGTACTCATCGAGTATAATAATTATACTATAATTATACTTAATTATTAAGTACTAGTTCATGTTACATAAATCCTTATTTTAATATATTATGACTAATGGGTGAACTATAAGAATATTGTATATAACACTTTTTAAGTTTCATAATTTACTTTTTATTGCATTATTCTAGATAAATAACATGTTTTTTAAAATAAAAAATTGTGGTTGAGGAGAAGAAAATATCTGCATAGACTAGCGCTATGGAATTAAATCTAATACATAATTACTATTCATAGTGGCACTAGATGTTGCCAGTCAAGCTGTGTAGGATTCTTTTTTGATTTTATCTTAATATTCTGTAATTTTTTTTTTCTTCGTGGCAGTTATAAATTTAGAAGCCTAAAATTATAAAGAAAAATGATTAGAATAGCAGTTATCACAGAGACGTATTAATATGGATACAATAATTAATAAATTAAACTAACTGCAAATACAAATATAGATAATCTAAAAATTCAGAAACAATAAATATATTTTTTTATAAAAGTGTTTTTATAGAAGATTCTTATTTAGTATTCATAAGAAATATATAAAAAATAACTATTTTCCACACCGTATTGTTTGAATATGAAACATAAGCAAAATGTCAATAATACATATAAGTGTTAATATAGGATGTATTTATCAAGTATAATTAAGTACTAGTTATTGTTACATTAATCCTTATTTTAATGTATTATGACTAATGGAAATTTTGACTGTATTATTGTAGATAAATATAACATTTTCTTTTAAAATAAAATATTGTAGTTGATGAGAAGAAAAATTCTGCATAGTCCAGCGTAATGGACACGAACCTGTTAGGGCGAGCGGCTGAAAATCTTATGACGCTTACCTCAGCACCTCTAAACTCTGTTTACGAATGAGTGGACTGTATATTTTGGTAGGATCGTGTGCTCACACACGATATTACTTGAAGTCGGAGGGGTTATCTATAGGAGACAAGATGGTGTGTGAGACAATTAACAAAGGCAACTTAAACTAAAAAAAAAAAAAATGATTAGAATAGCAGTTATCACAGAGACGTATTAATATGGATACAATAATTAATAAATTAAACTAACTGCAAATACAAGAATAAATTATTCGATTGCCCCTTTGGCACAGTAATTATAATAAATGTAATAATAGGTAATATAAAATATATATATGTAACAAATATAAATTGTCGAAAGAAACTCACAGCAACGTTGATATGTGTGTTCAATGGTCAGTTGCAACGAAACATAAAACTAAGAAAGAAACTAGCCTATCACATAATACTTATTCATTGAGGCACATGATGTTGCCAGTTAAGCTGTGTAGGTGTCTTTTTTAAATTCATTTTATTATTTTGATATTTTTTTTTTTTAGTTGTGGCAATTATAAATTTGGAAGCCTTATTTCGTGAATGTAAGAATACTTGAAATAATAATAGTGTATTCATGCTGTTATAAAAATAATATTAACAATATGAACTGTTCATACATAACTAATGTTTACATAATTTCAATTAATAACTATTATTGATAAAATAAAATAGAACACTAACTATAAAAGATGTTAAAAATTAATATATTATTAAATTATTATACTTAACACATTAAAATGAATTAATAAACTTGGTCAAATTAATATCTTCTTAGCTTTGCAAGGATACTAATAAATTATATTGTTTTAGGCGATTATGAATTATGTGAAATGTGTTACAAAGTGAAACCGGAAGTAATATTAAAACCTTGTTTACACCGAGTATGTGTAGGTTGTGCTTTTAAAACGAAATATGTGTGTAAGATTCCATCATGCAAACTATTTATAACAAATTATGATAATATAAGTGCGTATTTTAATTAAATTTGGAATCTACATTAAGCATACTATCTTCCATTTGTTTCATAAATATTCATTTTTGTTTAGTTAACGATATAAATGAAAATCTAGATATAATTTTATGAGTAATATTTAAAATAAATTAATTGTATATTTTTTTTACAGAAGATAACGGCTTATGTTACGCTTGCAAAGAAGAATCATCTACAGTAACAATGCTTCCTTGTTTTCATAAAATTGGCAATAGTTGTGGTTTTTATAAATTATTCTCAAAAACGGATAGATGTCCACAATGTGACTTAAAAGTTAATGAATTTAAAAAATTAGGTATGGAATAAATGTTTAATTTATTTTATTGTGGTATAGATGGGGCATNTAAAAAATTAGGTATGGAATAAATGTTTAATTTATTTTATTGTGGTATAGATGGGGCATAGTGTTCAATAATATATTATTGAAATCTGACAGTGATGAATATCACTATCATAAAAAACAATTCAAAACTAATGTTAAGAATGTATTTTATTTTTAGCAGAATTTTTGAATTATGTTATTATATTATATTGTTACAGTGTTGTACAATGTACAGATTGATTTTATATCATTACCTACACAATTCTTTTCTGTATAAATATAATTTTGTAATTTTAATTTTTGTAACTTTTAGCTACATAATGTTTTCTTATGATTAGCTAAGAAATACTCTATAAGTTTGTCCCTTATACTTTCTAAGGATATCAACTTTTTTTTTAAAATGACCATACATATTTTGATATTAATGAAATGTTTACTTTTTTTTATATCAATTATTTTGAAGAATAAAATTTGAAAAGCTAATTTTTAAAAATTGTATACAATAAAAAAAAATGTTAATTATATCATACGTTATAAGAGTTGTCAGTTAGAGCTCTTCCTTTTTGTATATAACTCGTATACATATAATGTTAAATGACAGTTAATTAAAATTTTTTTTTTTTTAATTTATTTTTAATAAAAATGTTAAAATTTAAAAATAGTTAGTTTTTACCAGTTTTATTAAAAAAAAAAAGTTACAGAGAAATAAAAATTGTATCAAACGCTATAAGAGTTGTCAGTAGAGCTCTTCTTCCTTGTATATGACTCAGATTTTTTTAATTTTAATTCAGTTATAAGTTTATTAACAAATTATTAAATAACTTAAAAAAATGATTTAAAAAAAAGCAATTCAATGTATGACATTAATAAAAAGGAGAGAAGACTGGATGGAGTATAAATGCTTGTGTAAAGAAGCCAAGTGTGCAGTAACTAAGGCAAAGTTTAACAGTTATGATGAGTTGTATGATAGGCTAGGAACAAAGGAAGGCGATAAAGAAATCTATAGACTTGCAAAAATAAGAGAGAAAAAGTCTTAAGATTATCATTATATAAGGTATATAAAAAGTGTTGATAATAGGGTACTTTCATGTGATGATAATGTGAAAAAGGAATATTTTGAAAGATTACTGAATGAGGAGTATCCAAAAGAGGCATTAGTGGATATCTCGTGGAATGAGAGACTGGTAGATTTAATTAATGAGAAAGAGGTATGGGAAGGTGTGGCATTAATGAAAAAGAATAAAGCTGTAGGACCAGACGAACTGCCAGTAGAAATATGGTAAATATTAGGTGGTGTTGGCATCAGGTGGTTGATACCGAATGCATGGATAAATAGTATTGTAGTGCCGATATTTAAAGGTAAAGGAGACATACAGGAGTGTGGAAATTATAGAGGCATAAAGCTCATGAGTCATAGTATGAAAATTTGGGAAAAGCTAATAGATAAGAGAGTAAGAATGAGACATCGGTATCTAAAAACCAGTTTGGATTTATGCCTGGTAAGTTAACAAAGGAGCCAGTATTTTGTTTGGGGTAACTAATAGAAAAGTTTAGGGAAAAGAAGAAAGAGCTGTATATGGTATTTATAGATTTAGAGAAAGCGTATGACAGAGTACCGAGAGAAATTTTAAAGTGGGCATTAATGAGAAAAGGAGTTACGAAAAGGTAAATTAATATAATAAACGATATGTTTGATGGCCCTTGTAGCAGGGTAAAAAGCGTAGGAGGAATATCAGAAGATTTTCGGCTAAGAGTAGGAGTGCATCAAGGTTCTGCTGTAAGCCCTTACTTATTCTCTATAGTGATAGATGAAATTACTAGAGAAATACAAGGAGAGGTGCCGTTGTGCATGTTGTTTGCTGATGATATAGTGTTAATAGGAGAAGAAAATATGAAGGAAATTAATCAAAGGCTAGAGGTTTGGAGATCAGTTCTTGAAGAAAAGGGTTTAAGGATAATTAGAAGTATGATAGAGTATATAGAGTACGAGTTTAACAAAGAAGAACACGGGTTAGGTGAAATGAGGAGGTCAGTGACAATAGGCGAGGACGTGATTGGTGAGGTGGAGAGTTTTAAGTATTTAGGTTCAGTTGTGCAAAAGAGTGGTGATATTAACGAGGATGTAAGAAAAAGTATTAAGTGCGGGTGGTTGAAGTGGAGAGAAGCGTCTGGCGTCTTATGTGATAAAAGAATTCCAATGAGGCTGAAAGGCAAATTCTACAAGACTGTAATAAGACCAGCTATGATGTATGGTTTAGAGTGATGGGTGGTTGATAAGAAAGTAGAGCAGAGAATGAGTGTAGCAGAGATGAGAATGCTTAGATGGAAGAGTGGAGTGACTAGAAAAGATATAATAAAGAACAAGCATATAAGAGGGAGTATAGGTGTAGCGTCAATCGTGGATAAGATGAGAGAAAATAGACTTAGATGGTTTGGTCATGTTATGAGGAGAGATAAATCGAAAGTTGTAAGAATAGATATAGAAATAAATTTTGAAGGATGAAGAAATTGAGGGAGATTCTATTTTATTATAACAAAATCATCTTGTATATATAGAACATCTTCTATTTTTAAAAGTTAAAAAAAAATATTACGACACTTTGCTATTTACATGTAAATGGACCCAAAAAATATATTTTTTTAATATCCAAAGTAACATTTCTTGTATTGCTATAATATTATTTTCATTTATATTGTCTGATTTTAAGTAAAACAGTATAGGCCTATATGTAATAGGAGTTAAGTTACCAATAATCCCCTTAGGTTATTATATAGGTTTAATATTAATATATTAACTTTGCTTGTTTTACATTAAGAATCAACAATGACGAGATTTAACTCGGCGAGTGGTTGTTTGAGTAAATGCTTTATATAAATAAAGTAATATTAATTTTAGAAGTAGTGAAAAATAGTTATTGCCAAAACTGCAACGACGAACAATCTGTAAAAAAAATTAAACGTTGTAACCATTATGTTGGACACAATTGTATAAATAGAAACAAAACTACTAAGTGTCCAGTAAAAAAGTGTAAACAAATTCAAGATCATTCTACGGAAAATGGTAAGCGTTTAAATATTTGGTTTATTCAAGTTTCAAGTTCTAAAATTTTAAGAAGAAAAATTAAAAATGAATTATTAGAATCAGGAATCATCTATTGTTCATATACACATTAAATACCTGACATTAAGATCACTCTCATAAAACGTTTCAATGAGATTGAAATAATTTTTTTAGCTAGAATTTTATAAAAGTACATAAAAAAACCAGTACACGTGAGTAGTGCCATAGTTGGGACAAGAAAAAATGATATTTGATAGTGATTAATATCTCGATCATAATAAAAAGCTTCGAAATGTTAATTTTATAAAATAAAATATCTGGGATCATAAATATAAACTAATCTAAAAAATTATTAGATTAGTTAACTTACAATTTATATTATATAAGCAATTTAGTAAAGATTTTTAAATATACTTTTGTTAACAATTTTGTCAATAAACAATGTCACGCAATTTGCATAATTTTATTATAATTCATAGACTGTTTATGTTGGATTCTATAATTTTTGAAAACTAAATGCATTGGTGAATCAGCACTTATTTGTAATTTAACCATGTTTTATTTAAAATATTATTGTAATTTAACATTTTACATTAGACAGTGAACAAACATGCTGTATTTGTCTATTAGAAATTCCATTGAGTGTGACATTAAGTCCTTGCTATCATAAAATATGCAATAATTGTGCTAATGAGCTATCACTAGAAAATGGTACTAAATGTCCATTATGCAGAGAACCAATATTACGTTATAAAAATATAGGTAATTATTTAAAAAATATAATTTATCTTTACAAAATAACCATAACTTTGGTTTTTAAATTAATACTGTATTATTAATTTAAAACTAAAAAATAATAAACTCAAATTACACTCAAACATGGATTATCATCCGAATTAGATAGAGTCCGTTTTCAATAAATTCAATAATACCTGAACAAATAGATGATTGAAATGTGGTAAGACATTCATTTTCTTAAAACTATTGAGTTTTTAATTTTTGTAAAAAAAAAATCAGCTTCATAGACTACAATAATTAGTTGTGAAACCCTTAATATGGTATGGTGGCTAACTGTGTATTTTAATTGAGTTCCGAGAAATACTTTCTGTTTTTTTAGAGTACTCGTATACGTAAGTCGAAATCGATAAAATGTATACGAGATTCATTCAGATTATTTATGTAAATTTTTTTTATTATAATTATTTTTTTTTGAAATATCAATTGCTGTTTTGGCGCAACAATTACGTTTATCATTTTGCTCTTGTTTATATGTGTATAATTAAAAAATAAAATATGCCCAATTTTATAGAAGCATTAACATATTCATGAAAAGTGGAAATGTATATTGACAAATATCTTCCATACTTGGATAATGTAGCTAAAGATAATGAATTGAATAATAAGAAAAACTTTCTATGTTATGTTTATTTATTGGGAAAATATTACACTGTCATTAATAAATTTTAACCCTAACAATAATCGGAATATATTATGAAAAAATTACTGATAGTGAATCTATTAAAAAAAATTAGTAAGAGTAGTAGCAGAATGTTTTTGAAGGGACCACCAGATGAAATAATTCATAAGTTTATGTCATTGGAAAATAATATAGTAGATAAATTAAAAGAAAATGTTATAAGATTTGAAAAAAGATACAAATTTGAACAAATACAATAGCAATTCGGAAATTTTGGAAATAGAAATAGATTCTTTTTAAAAAAAATTCCTAATGGTAAATCATAAATTTAAAATATGTACGTCACCAAAGTTTAATGATATATCCTAACCATAATCAGCGTGGACCAATAAATTATAGGAAATAATAAATTATATAAAAATTGTTGAAATATTGTTTATGAGAACTAAAACACTAAAAATTATAAATTTAACAATATGAATAGGTATTTTTATCATAATAATCGATGCTTTCACTACAATTACTTACAAAAATCATCTAATTCTAAATGAAAAAAAATATGCAATGTAGTTTAGAGAGATATAATTTTTACATCGCTAAAGATATATAAGTATTATTATATTTATTAAATAAACACTATTTTCTAGTTAACTTTAACCTTGTATATAACATTTAGAGTTAATAGAAAGATGTGCATGCAAAAAAGAACTTCGACACGTTGTATTAAAACCTTGCCTTCACAGAATAGGTAGAGTCTGTGCTGATTTTTTTAGTAATAAAAGTGAATATCATCCGAAGTGTCCAATATGCCGCGTAAAAGTTGAAGAATTCTGTCATGATGGTTTGTATTTATTATAAAATATTATGGGTTTGTGTAAAATTGGCCCATGCAATATCTTAATGAATTAAAAATATATAGTATAATTTTTTTTCTTTAAAATTTATAGTATTCTACAATCTATAGTTTTATGAAAAAATGGCCATATTTTGGTAATTTGGGGAAAGTTGGGTCTTTTCATTTAAAATTGCATCATATGGGATTTTTATTAGAAACTTTTATGTTTAACACACTTACTATCAGGATAATGATCCAATTATCTTAGTGGGATCATAGGATGTCTCAGTACTTAGAGGAAAAAAAAAATTAAAACAAAATCTTAATTGTTATAAAATTATAAGAGCTGCAATCTGATATATCTCGTATAATTCTGTTTAAAAAATATAAATTAATCCAATTTTCAGATGTTTGGAGAGAGCTCGTGACTAAATTTTNAATAGAAATTATGATAAATATTTTTATATGAGCATTGCTATAATCGGTTACCAGACACTTAGGTAAGCATAGTTCCAACATCTAAGGTACCACCGTTCAGTAACAATGATTATCGTATGTATTTTATGAGAAAATATGTCACCACTGATGGTGTTTCACGCCTACACATTTTATTCTTTACTATACCATCAAATGTATAGCTATAATTTCTAAGAATTTTATCATCGACTACCAGACGCTTAGGTAAGCATATTTCCAACATCAAAGGTATCACCGTACAGTAACGAGCGCTGTCGTATGCATTTTATGATAAAAATGACACCACTGGATGTGTTTCACGCCTACGTATTTTATTCTTTACTATATAACCGGTGAAACACTTCTTGTCCTGTCACATTTGTTTTTTAATTATCATTGACGTGCAGTTGTCTTTTTGAAAACCAGAAATTTATTATTTAATAATTTACACGTATAAATAAAACCATGAACCAGCAAGATCAAGCATCTTCTACACAAGGTATGTAAAATTTTCCAATTATAAACTTATTTTATTTTAATAAATTTATTTTTAAAATATTTTTAATTTTTAAATTCATTAATTTATTAAAAAAAAAAAATGAGTACGATAAAAAATTTGTACGAGAAATGTATTAAGGATTTCAATGTCACAAGTGAGTAAAATAAATTGGTAATTGTAATCAATATAAATCGTTAACTNATAAATTGGTAATAGTAATCAATATAAATCGTTAACATATATTTTAAATGTAAAAATAGGAGATTACAATTTTAAATATTGTAATTGTGAAACCAATAAATGTTATCAACATAGGGCATTATTAAGAGATGCCTACCATACACGCCGATATATCGACATTTGGGCCAATGTAGTGATCAGTTATTTCGTTAATAATGCCGAATATGAAAAATATGATGTGATTATTAATGAATTAATTGAACGCTCATCGGTCGATTTGGAGATTTATCTGCGTGAATTATATGAAAGATTATTTATCACGAAATCTGATTATGGGCATCAACGTTGGCTTAACGGTAGAAAATTTATTAGTAATACTTATAATAATAATAAAATTAAAACTAAAAGTTATTGGACTAGACTAATTTTTTTTATAAAGGTTGAAAATTATGTTTACTTAGATTATTTTAATTGCACGGAAAGATTGAGCTTATTTACAGGTAACAGTCAGAAGTTGAGGAGAGAATTTAAACATCGTCGTGCGATAGATCTTGTTTGTGTGTACAACTTAATTGTATCACATAAACAAGATGAATGTACAATGCCTATCGTTAATTTTAATTCAGATGGCGAGACTGTAGATGAGTATTCAGAGTGGAATATATAATTTGTATATAATATTAATAATACTTTAATGCTATCATAATTAGCAATTGTTTCTAGTGTTATGCATGTGACATGATGATGTACGGGAANAATTGCTTCTAGTGTTATGCATGTGACAGGATGAAGTACAAGAACAGGTATAGATCTTTAAACATAGTTTTTTCATACACATATTCTATTTTACATCATGAAATTTAACATTTTTTACATGTGATAATGAATACTGTACAAATATGTGCGGTACAAATCCACCATACAAATACCTTGTTATTTAACCGACAAATGTATAGATGTTTTTATTTTAACCATATTTAATATTATTTTTTAATATCATTATAATAATTCTATTGCAGTGATTGATATGTCAAAGCAGACCGATACAATTACAGTCCCGTCTTTTGACCTACGCNAAATTACAGTCCCGTCTTTTAACCTACGTATTGAAATTGAAGCATCATCTGCGTTCCCTGCTAATACAACTGCATATGCTATAGTAATTTCAGACAATGTATTTACATATACACCTTTTGACGGTACCATCCGTATATTTTATCATTTTTTTACATGTTTATGCAAACATTTATTATTAACCTCGTAATTATTATTATTATTATAAAATAAATATATTATATACAAATAACAACACTGTTTTTATTTTAGATTATAAGTTTATTATAAGAAACTAATACAATATATAAAGTTATTATTTATAAATTATTAATATAAGTTAATTTTCTGACATGATTGGGTTTCGGCCATTGTGAAGCCCATGGACTATAACCATTTTCTTGGGTATACACTGTTGTATTGAAAAATGTTGGTCCATCATTCNGTTGTATTGAAAAATGTTGGACCATCATTTTCATCGCACATTTCTTCTTCTTTTTCCTAAAGCATAATTATAAATTTAATAACAATAAAGGTTATTACAATCTATGTTCATTAAACTCACATTAATTTGAAGCGTGCCCTCGGACCATGACTTGACCCAACTATCAACTATTACATTGTACGCTAAATTCTTCAGCTCGCTTATGTATTTACTGTCACCTTTAGGAATAGTATCACATATTTCTATGTCGTTCAAACTTCTTATAAAATTAACCATTTCATCATTGTTTGATTGTTGAATTTTAGGGCCCGACCATTTACCGTCGGCGTATTGTATAATGCGGTCTATTTGATGGCTTAATAGTAAACGTGTTTTTATTTTTCTTGATATTGCACTGTTAATAGTACACTGTTAGTCCATAAGTCTATTAATGTTTTCGTTATTCAATAACACTCGACACCCATCCACTATTCTGGATTCTAATACTAAATGCATGGTATCACGGTACAATACTTTGGTTATATTAAAATCGACATTTTGGTATAACATAATGATCTCTCCTTTTACCGGAAGTGATTGTAGGAATAATGTTATTTCATCCCTCATGCCGTAAATAATATTTAAATAATCTGCTGACATACTAATGTATCGTGAAGGAGTAATAATTCNAATCTGCTGACATACTAATATATCGTGAAGGAGTAATAATGCATACCGTAACATTGAAGTCATCCTTTGGATTCAGGCCCACTTGCAAAAATTTTCTGTCGCTGAACGCAATAGTGTAACTGCTAGAGTCAATCATCTCGGCTGGCGGTGTTGGTGCGATATAAATGTAGCGCTGTTTTCTTACAGGTTCGGCAGCCATATTATTCATAGAGTAGAATCTTCTTTTTAGAACTGAAGGTTCTTGATGACACTGTGACTTTATCAACGATTTCATGCTCATTTATGCGGAAAAATCACATATTTTCATAGAGGCGTCAGCAAATCATAGGACACATATCCCCGTATACTAACTCTTTTCTTCGTCACTTAAGTAATTACACTTTAATAATTAATTTTAAACTCTCAATTTCTAAATATTTGTATACAAATATATGTAATAGATTATGTGTATACATGTTTTATACAAAAACGATTACACATTAATGTCTATTAACAAACGCGGTAGTGTGACTGAATAATCAAAAAAGAATTTGATAAAATATTATTTCAAACGTATAAATATTTTCTCTAAAATTAAAAAAATAACTCAATTCTTATGAAATAGTATAATATTGTACATATTTATTTATTTACTTTAATATCATAATAATGATCACCTTATGATGAGTTTCATCATCACCTCCTCTTCTATGTAGGGGTAAACTGCTGATTAACTGTTTTAATTATTCAAGTAAGAGGGCTCTCTATGACCAAAGGCCTACACATCACATAGCTATAGTTGGGTTTCGTTTGATTAATAGCCGCTGTCGCCGCTTGATTATTCCTTTCATTTTCTGCATTCAAATATTTTCAAATAATTCTAAAATTATGTAATTTTTAAAATAGCTCCAATTTTCTATAATATATCAAGATATACTATATGATGTTCCATCTACTTCGGTATACTATGAATATACCAGGGTATACAATACATGATAACTGTACAAGTCCGCATTTGTCCGAAAAAGTAGTAGATGAGCATAAATAACACTTAAATCGTATACCGTCATGTATTTTCCTATGCAGCAGTTAAAAACAGTTTTTTGACAACGTACACTTTTTCACACTTGTCACTAGAAAACATTTTTTAAAACGTTTAAGTGATACAACACTATTAATTTTACTCAAGTAGTAATCAGTCTTTTATGTGAAAATACTCATTTATGCGGAAAAATCACATATTTTCATCGAGGGTCGGCAAATTACAGATCACATATCTCTGTAAACTAGCCTTTTCGTTCACCACTTAAGTGATTTCACTTTAATATCATAATAATTAAATTTAAAGTCACGATTTCTAAATATTTTTATACAAATATATGTAATAGAGTATGTGTATACTCAATATGTATACATATGTTATATCCAATNTATGTAATAGGTTATTTGTATACATGTTTTATACAATAACGTTTACACATTAACAAAAAAAAAAAAATATCTATTAACAAACGCAATAATGTAACTTAATATCATAATAATTAATTTAAACTATCGATTTTTAAATATTTTCTCTTTAATTACAAAATAACTGAATTCTTATGAAATAGCATAATATTATACATATTTATTTATTTACTTTAATATTATAATAATGATCATCTTATGATAAGTTTTATCATCGCCTACCCGTCTATGTAGTGGTAAATAGTTGGTCTACTGTTTTAATACATACTTTAGTCAAGGAAGGAAGACCCTCTATGACCAATACACGTCATAGTTGGGTTTCATTGGGTTAATAAGCCGCCGCCGCTCGATTGCACCTTTCTCTTTTCACTTTTCACATTGCACATTGTGTTAAAAGTCATATATTATATCTACTGGTGAGAATGTTTGATGCGAGTTGTTTGAACGGAACGCCCTGTAATGATGTGCTGGTTAGTTACTGTTCTTTTTTGGAGTATCTATATCATTCAGGAGCAAGAAGTAGGGAGTAGACTGTATAAATGAATAAATGTATTGAAAAAATATAAAACAATAAACTGTATATTTAACATAAATTCTTATATATGTACTAATAAGATAGAGGGGGGGCACTTAACACTAATGCCACAATAGGGCAAAGAAAAATAAATAGTAATGTATATAAAAGTAATAAGATAAATATATATAATAATTAATTACTTAGAAATTCCTGTAGTCTTGGAAGTTGTACAAATAAACTGATCTGGAATAAATAACCTTTCAACACGAGTAACTTGTGATATTTATTTTTTTTCTTGTCACATCTTTATATTACATTTTAACTTTGTGTTTAAAAATTCAAATACTGTTTGCTATTAAATTAAAAACTCAGACATTTTATTAATTTCAAAATATGTGTTCTCATTTTAAAAAACTCAAGTTAATGTTTTTTAACCTTGAAGGGATGAAAAATATCACGTTTTTACTACATATTCTTGCAGACTTTCTTGAATCAAATAATATTTCCCTTACGAAAAATTAAAAAATTTCAATAGTTACTGAGTAAACGAGTGTCTTAACCTTAATGAATCACTCTGTATACAGAGTGGCCCACCATTCACTGACAACTTAAATAACTTTTGATCCAGTTAATATTTTTAGTTGATTTTTTTTTTAAATAATAGTTAGACGTTAGGTCTATAGCTATATCTCAATAATTAATTTTTTTACATTTTATTAAAAATATTAATTATTTTTAAATTTTAAATAAAATGTAAAAAAAAAATCTAAGATAGCTATTTTGTAGAGTAGAATTTAAGAAAAATTTTAGTAAAAAAATATCTTATTAATATTCAGTAGTAAATATTCTGTAGCGTTTTGAAGTTTGTGAAA